CCCGGAATGAAGGAGGAATGGTTATAGTGGATTGATCCGAAGGAACTCAAACTGCATGGTGTTGTTCATAATTATTTCGCTCTCTGTTGCCTTTTGTTTTCCATTTTTCTCTTGTTTGGTTCATTCACGTGCGTAGATTCTGGTTTGTAATCTTGTGAAGAATTTTTGAATGAAGATTGTTCAGTTATACTATATGCTGCGTTGATCATGGATCAGCAGTGAATTTTCCCTAGCTAAGATAAACCTAATGGTGCAATTACAGGACTGGAAAATGGTAATTAGGGATCCCATGCTAATCGTATTTCCACTGATATGCAAATATGCTTTTTTCAAAAATATATGGAGAGGGTCATTTTTTCTGCTGTGTTGAAAAAACCAAAAAAAATCAATACAATGATTTTAGGCAGCCATACAATACTTTCATGCAAGGTTAATCTATCAAATAAATGAGACATCTTTCTTTTCTATACGAGGTTACTTTCATTTATACCGCTTGAAAGCATCAGGAGAGCAGCTGTTAACCTTTCTCAAAATATGAGAAACATACAAATAAAGTACAGGCATGCCTTCGGTGACTAAATCCATGGGAAGAAAAGTGAACATGCTTTGGATTTAATGGAAGTGAGCTGTTTACTCTCCGGGTGCAGATATTAATCTGAAAGGATAAGGGGAGAGAAGAGTTTAGTTTGAAAACCCGGTTGCCGGTGGTGATGGGGACAAGGATGAATGGGTATTGGTCGATGCGGCGGAGCCATGCTGATCTTTTGAAAAACTCTAAAATTAGTCCTTGAAGTTTTTATTTTACCAATTTCATCCTTAAATTTTATTTTTTTCACTTAATTATTTTTAATATTGATGAAAATAATTATCATTAGTCTTTTTTGTAAATAATGTATTAAGTTTAAAACAGAATGTTCACATACCAATTAAGAAATCTTTAAGGCTTATTAATTAAATATAAAGACTACCTTTTAATCTCTAATATTTTTAACTAAAAAATAAGTAAGAAAATCTTTAAACTTTTAACATTTCTCTGCCTTGTCCTCTCTCTCTTTTTTTGGAAAGACTTTAAACTATCAATTTTGTAGTACTTAAAAGTAATCTAAAATATTCATTTTAGTCACTAATATTGATGAGTTGAATTTATATATATTTTAATGTGAAATCTTTACCTTGATATTATTGATATTTGAATAAATTTTATGAGCTTTTACTTGATTTTATATAATTCTCATTATTTGTGTAGAAAAAGACTTATTTGGAAGAAATCATAATTTTTGAACCAAGTTACAAAGATCAAAAAGTTGAGGATTAAGTTGCAGAGAATTCAGAAGTTAGAGATCAGGACTGTCATTTTACCATTAACAAAAATTACTTTTAAGGCCAAAAACCCGACACGGAGATTTCAGTCGGCTCTTGACAAAAGGTGTCGATACCTAATTGAAGGTGTTGACTCTTATGCTATTTGGACAAGTCCATGACTGTCTTATTATCTTGGTGTGGATCTCATTTTTATTTTAATTAAGTTTTTTAAAATCTTATAAATATTTATCTCAATTCAGAAGTGAGGGAGCTTCTACAGGTTGGTGGCAGCTCTTTTTTGGGCATTTTAAAAATTAAGATAGAGGATTCATAAAAAAATTAAAAATTTTCATTTTATTAAATTGAGTTTTATTTTTTAAAATTATTTTTATTTATTTTTTAATATTTAAATGTTCGTAACTATAATTTTAAGCTGTATTATTTTTATTATAAACTAAGTTAACCAATTAAAGTTTAAGTTGATTGCAAAATAATTTTTAATTGGCTATCAATCTATAAAATATGGGCACCAAGGTTTTCGATATAACTTAATCAATTTAATATTGGTTTTTATAATTTTTATACTTTTGATATTATTATTTTATAATGAGTATATATTATTATTTTTAATGTTTTTTAATACTTGATCATCATTAAAATTGATATAGAGAGCATAATTAAGACTAAGAGGAGATTTTATGCATATTATGGAATATTTTCTCTTGATTATGTTTTCACTGCTATGATTATATTTACATTATAATTGATTTATATAATTAGATTAATTGATTTTATACTATAGAATATTTTTTTGTACAGTGGCACTTTATATATTCAAATGAATCAAGAAAAAGTATCATTTTTCTTCATATTTTTCTCTCCTAGCTTGTTTTCTCACATGGTATTATAGCTACTGAGCTCTTTTATCTCTTTTCACTTTTTAATTTTCTACTTCTAGTTTGTGCCGACATTATTGTGATATACTACTGTTTTCGCCCAGTATTGTTCTGGGTTTCTAGTTTTTGCTTCGATTGTATTCGACGTTCCTGACCAGCATTGTGCATTCAGAATTGCTTTCCGGCAGCTAGCTGTTATTGCCCAGATCTACGTCAATCTCTTTTGATTTGGTCAAGTTTCTTTACATAATATCTTTATTTTTTCATGGAGAAATCTGATCTTTCACACCCAATTTCAACTACTCTCAATGCCTTAAATTACATACTCTAGGCTCAAAGTATGCGCAATTTTTTAAAGAGTTGAAAGTTATGGCGGTATATTACTAGTGACATTACACTTCCATAGAAGGTTGCTGATGAGATAGATAAGAAGTATGTTGACTGTCTAGTGGACTAGGACAGCAAAAATCATCAGATCATCACTTGGTTTCACAACACCTCAATTCCTTCCATTCACCTTTAGTTTGGACAGTATGAAACATCTAAGGAAGTGTGGGATTTGCTTGTAGCAAGGAATACCACTTCTAATTTATCTAGTCAATATCAATTGTGGGAAGAGTTATACAATTTGAAACAAGAACGAAATATCAATTGTGGGAAGAGTTACACAATTTGGAACAAGAACGATGAGAGTCCATTACTAGTTTTTATGCTAAGATGGAGGCTATTTGGGATCAACTTGCTCTCTCAGAACCAACTTTCAACGACACTGTTGATATTGGGAAGTACATTGAGTATTGTAACAAAATGAGGTTAATTCAATTTCTTATGGCACTTACTGATCATTTTGAACCGTGCAGAGCCTTTCTATTGCATCAGTCTTCTTTACCTACCTTGGATAGTGCTCTCTCACGATTATTATCTGATGAAACTCGTTTGGGCTTACTTAAGCCTCAACGAGATAATACTGTGGCTGCAACTATTAATAAGTTTCCTTCAAGTAAGAGAGAATAGAAGCATTGTCGTCACTACAACAAATACAGACATGCTATATATGAATGCAGTCTGGTAGAATGTCATAAATGCAGGCAGGAAGGCCATATTGCTCCTAATTGTACTACTCCACTACCTCAAAGATTTGATTTGTGGAAGACCTAATCAAAGCTTGATTAGTCTTCCAAGCCTGTGGTTGTTGCAGTTGTTGCCAATGAGGATAACTCAGTCCATCCTTTGATTGATAATTTAGAAACTCTTCTTAGACAAATGATATCATCTGCCTCTACATCTACTGCCTTGCCTACCATCCCAGGTAAACTTTCCTGGATTTTTTACTCTAGCTGTTGTAACCATATGACTCAAACTCTAAACTTTTTTCTACATTAACCCCTAATACCACCGCACCTGCAATCCATACTACTAATGGTTCACAAATGCAAGTTAGCCAATATGGTCAAGTTTCTACTTCTATCCTTACCTTACCAAACACTCTCCTAATACCAAAACTTACTTTCAATCTTATTTCTGTGGGACAACTGTGTGAACTTGGTTTTGAACTAATATTTTCTACTCATGATTGTCGTGTGCAAGATCCATGGATGGGACAGATTCTTGGGCAGGCCGTAAAGTTGGATGTTTGTTTGAGCTCACCTCCTTGAACATCCCTTCTAGTTACATTTCCCAATTGTGTGCAGTCTCAACATCTTCCTCTTTACACTTGTGGCATCTTCGTCTTGGTCATGCCTCTATTAGTAAACTTCGTCCTTTAATTCAAAATGGGTCTTTAGGTTCTGTTAAAGAAAAGTCTTTACATTGTGTCTCATGTCAAGTTGCTAAACAGCCTGCTTTATCTTTTAATAAAAGTGATTCCATTTTACTTGCACCTTTTGATTTAGTAGATTCTGACATATGGGGGTCATCTCCCACTCTTACCATTGGTGGTTCAAAATATTTTGTGTTATTTGTTGATGATTATTCTCGCTTCACTTAGCTATATTTGATGAAGAAACACTCAGAATTGCCTCAAATTTACTTTGAGTTTGCTAATATGATAAAGACTCAATTCTCTAAAACTATCAAAGTCTTGAGGACTGATAATGCTCTTGAATATCTTGATTCTAAATTTTAGTCTTTTCTTAAAGAGCATGGCACAATACAACAAAGATCTTGTCCATATACCTCTCAACAGAATGGGTGGGTTGAGCGTAAACATCATCATATTTTGGACTTAGTTCGTGCTCTCTTATTTTCCTCTTCATGTCCTGAGCGTTTTTGGGGTGAAGCTGCACTTACAGCAGTCTATGTCATAAATCAAGTCCCATCCACCGTCACACAAAATAAATCTCCCTATGAGTGTCTCTACGGTATTCTATCTTCTTAAAATTTTTGGTTGTGCTTGTTTTGTTCTTTTACCTTCTCATGAACATCACAAGTTAGAGCCTCGAGCTCGACTTTGTTGTTTTCTGGGGTATGGGATACAACATAAAGGTTATCGTTGTGGAGATCCAATATCACAAAAACTCTGTATCTCTCGTCATGTTGTTTTTTGGGAACATACAATGTTTGCTTCTCTTTTTGAATTCAAGGTGTCTCCTATCTTTACTAATCCATCGCTTGAGTTATTTCCTAGTGATGCTGCAGGGTCTCCTAATGAGCTTTCAAATGATCAAACAACCACTGCTCTTGTTTTAGAAGATGTCTCTTCTACGGATATTGCACCTGGAACAAATGAGATTGAAAATTCACCAGTTGCTTCCTCTTCCAATCATCCTACTCGGGTAATAAATCCACCTACATATCTTCAAGATTACCATTGTTTTCCTCTTTACATGAACCTCAGTCCTACAAGGAAGCTTCTTTCGATCCTCTATGGCAGCAAGCTATGAAAGAGGAATTATAGGCTTTGGAAAAGATAGGTACTTGGGACTTGGTTGATCTACTTACTGGTAAGACTCTTGTTGGATGCAAGTGGGTATACAAGATCAAAACTCATTATGATGGATCTGTGGAGCGCTATAAGGCACGCCTGGTGGCAAAGGGTTTTACACAAGAATATGGCATTGACTATGAAGAGACCTTTGCTCATGTTGCTCGTCTTACCACAATACGTAGTCTACTAGCTATTGTTGCTGTACGTAAATGGAAGTTGTTTCAGATGGATGTGAAGAATGCCTTTTTTAATGGTGATTTGGAAAAGGAGGTTTATATGAAACCGCTTCCTAAATTTACTCATCCTCCGAATAATGTATGTCGATTGCGACGAGCCTTTTATATGGTTTAAAGCAGTCTCCTCGAGCTTGGTTTGCAAAATTCAATTCTACTTAAGTGAGTTTGGTTTCACATTTAGTCCACATGATACTGCTTTATTTGTTCATAAATCTGCTCAAGGAATGGTTCTCTTACTCATATATGTTGATGATATGATTATCACTGGAGATGATGTTTTAAGGTTTGATGAGCTTAAGCAGTTTCTTAGCCACCGATTTTAGATGAAAGACCTTGGCTCTTTGAGTTATTTTTTAGGACTTGAAGTTACATCCTCAGATGATGGCTATCTTCTCTCCCAATGAAATATGCATCAGATCTCATATAAAACTAGTCTCATTGATAGCAAGATTTTTTCCACACCTCTTGAGCCAAATGTCAAACTCACATCATTAGATGGCTCTCCATTTCCTGACCCTACTCATTATCAACAGTTGGTTGGGAGTTTGGTTTATCTTACTACAACACGTCCAGACATAGCATATACAATTCATGTTGTTAGTTAGTTTATGGCTGCTCCCCATTCCACTCATTATGCTGCTGTACTTCGTATTATTCGCTATGTTAAGGGAACACTATTTTATGGACTTCACTTCTCAACTCATTCCTCTCTTGTACTTCGTGCATACTTAGACACTGATTAGGCTGGTGATCTTACAGATCGAAGATCCACTATTGGCTATTGTCTCTTTCTTGGTAACTCTCTTATTTCATGGCATAGTAAGAAACAAGCTATTCCATTTCGCTCTAGTACTGA